ATTAAATTAAAAAAAGCAACATTGGGACAATACGCCAATTGGATAGATTATGTGCTAGCATGTTACAATCACGTGAGAAGAAAGAAAAAGTCCCAAGTTCTCTGAAAGAATAGGAGTAAGGAATATGTATAGAGGGCTACGATAGACATGCTCAAGGGAGTCATGATGCGTAAAGTCTATGAACTTGAAGCTGTCAGAGGACGATCAAAATTATACACACCTGAACGATTTTGAAAGACTCGTACTGACAGTTAGCACAGTTAGCGGTATTGTCTTAGAAGATGAGATGCAGCATGCGTACGTTGGATCTCTACCAGATAGTTAGTACTCTTGTTTGGTTGTCATTGAGTAACTCAAGCTCCCAAATGGTGTGGTAAACGATTCTTATGGTAAAAGAATAGACTACTTAATGAAGAACTACGAAAAGAAAAGACGTTGCCATACCAGTTCACAAAGCCCTTATCACCAAAATAGGCCGGAAAGAGGTAGAGGTCCAAGGCATGTTTAAAGTCTTGCGTGGGTAGATCCAAGTCCAGAGAGATGAGAAAATGTTACCATTGCGGTAAGGAGGGTCATCTCAGAAAAGAATGTCGTTTCTCAAACAGGATAATGCAGACCGAAAGACAGGAGAATGACAAAAATACATATTGCTATGTCTCAGGAGAAGATGGTAAGGTGACTTAGGTCACTCATTTGATGCAATTGTCTGTCATGTTGGAGATGCAGATACCGAGTGGATAGTAGATCCTGTGCTTCATACCCACTGTGTTCCAAAAAAAGGGAATACTTTTCCACTATAAAGCAGGAGATTTTGGCACTATTAGGATGGGAAATTTAATAGTGTCTCGCAAGTGGTGGAATCGGTGATATCTGCATTAAAGACAAGTGTCGGGTGCACATTAAAACACTTAAAAAGTGGACATATTCCCCGATCTCGGTTGAACCTGTTGTTCTGTGAGTGTACGGACAAGGAAGGCTATTCAACCCATCTACCATGTGATGTTAATTGGAAACTCACCAAAGGGTGTTTGGTGTGGCGAAGAGGAAAATTATGTTGCTTCGCTGTATAAGACGCATGCAATAATATGTGCGGGACAAACTTAATTACAGTTGCGATGATGCTTCACCAATTTGTGTGGCATAGGCAGTGGCGGGCACGTTAGTGAGAAAGGGCTGGTATGTTGGCTAAGAAGTTCCCTCATACCATTAGCCAAAGGTTAAAATAAACCCTTTATGTGATTATGTTTACTGGGAAGCACATCATGTCTCATTTTTGGAAAAGATCTACACAGGAGAGACAAAACAAGTTGGAGTTTTGGTACACTCCTGACGTATGTGGTCCTATGAAAGTTAGAATCACTTGGAGGGGAGAAAAGTAGAGGTATTTCTTACCTTATTGAAATGTATTCTCCGAAAAACATGGGATATAATTTGTTGCGCACAAAAGACCAAGTATTTCCAAAGCACTTTCAGCAAGCAATTCCACCCTATGGTGGAAAGGAGACTGGAGGTGGCATTGAAGTGTTTTGCGCACGGATAATGTGGTTAGTATATCTCTAGGTTAGAGGATTTACTGTAATCAGCATTGTAATTCGGGCATGAAAAGACAGTTCCTGAGTTCGCCTCAACACAATGGCATTGCTGAACGGAATGAATCACACCATTATGAGAGAGTCAGATCCATGCTCAAAAATGGCCAACTTACCTAAGCCAATTTTGGAGAAGCTGTCAAATACTGCTGTCTACCTAATTTCAACGGATACCTTCAGCACCTTTGATTTTTGTATCCCAGAGAAGGTCTAGACAGGGTAGAAATATTTTCATACTCTCATCGAGGGTTTTTGGCTGCAAGGCATTCATGCATTTCCGAAAGAGCAGAGATTAAAGCTTGAATAACAAGTCAGTTCCTTGCACGTTTGTCGATTATGGGACGAAAAAGAGTTTTGGGCTATAGTTGTGGGATTCCAAAGAAAGGTCCGGAGCCGAAGGACGTATATTTCCACGAGAATGAATCGTGGCAGAACAACTTGGAAAGAATGCACAAGTGATGGTATGTTGATATTACACCAGAAAAGTTTCCTACAGTATATTGCCCACAGGGGAGGGAATGTCAAATCAGAATTGAGAAAGGAAGAAAGAGCCAGTCGGTAGGGGATCAAGGACAAATTGTAGATGGATAACATGATGCAAAGTGTGTTGAGCAGGGGGAGCACGAAGAAACCCATTACACCAGAAGGAGTTTGAACCTCAGTTATAAGAAGGTCAACCAGATGAAGCGCCAACCATCTACAAGGTACCCTAGTTCTGATTTACATTTTGATTACTGTGAGGGGGAAGCCAGAAAAGCTTCCAAGATGTGCAATCTTGCAAAGACAGAGATTGCTGGACAAAGGCCATTTTGCAAGAAGAGCATGTATCTTTGAAAAAAGAATGACACATATGAGCTGGTGAAACTTGCCAAAAGGAATAGAAACACCAAGAACAAATGGGTGTACAAACTGAGAAAGATGAATGGCACCAAGTGAGATTACAAAGCTTGATTGGTTGTCAAAGGCTTTTTACTCAAAAGAAAGGGTATTGAACTTTGATGATGATTTTTTTCACCAGTTGTGAAATGATTCTATTTCGAGTTGTGCCTAGGTTATAGCCAATTTGAATCTTTGAGTTAGAATGCTTGATTAAAGACCGCATTCTTAGTGCGGGATCTAGAGGAAGACTCTATTATGGAAACAACCATAAGTTTTCAGGGTCAAGGGAAAGAGGGACATCGTTGTCGCTTTGAAGAAGACTTGTTACGGGTTGAAACAAGCGCCGCGACCAATGTAAAAAAGTGGACTTCTTTCATGGTGAATCAAGGCTAAAAAAGGACAGATGCAGATTCCTTGTTGTATATGTCCAGAAATTTTCCCTGATGGTTAAAATTTATCATCCCTTCTCTTATTATGTTGATATATTGCTAATTGTTGGAACCAGATGCCACATATTGATTAGCAAGGTTTAAAGAATGATTTGTCAAAAGCATTTGACATGAAGGATTGGGATCGCAAGGGCGACATTGTCGGAATGGAGAAAATTATCCGGACAGAAAGTCACTTGCAGTTATGGTTATTTTTTTTTTTTTTTTTTTTTCTTCTTTTTTTTTTTTACAGGGAGAAAAAATATATTGAACGATGTTCTAGACGAGGTTCAATATGAAGAATGCTAAAACAGTAAGCCACTCGCTTGCCGCTCACTTCAAGTGAGGTAAATCCTACCTGTGACATCCTACCCGAGTTGAAGTCTTAGCATAGAATTGATAAGTCGGAAGTTGACAGTCGAGTTGACCAACAACCCGGTTGGGGTTAGAATGAGGCCTATAAGTGGACTCTATTTTTAAGTGAGAAGAAAAAGATAAGCATGTGGGTTTGAGGATTGATTTGTATTAAAGATGAGCTTGGGTCTTAGTATAACCTGTTTACCAATTGAGGTACCATTAGGAAAGTTTCCATAAAATCCTTGATTTTGGACGTGGTCGCCCTACCAACCCGTAATACACATTTTCAACTTTCCCATTTCATGTTTTAATCTTCATTTTCTCCTTTCCTCTTCCACCTTCTTTTTCAATTTTCATGGTAGATTAAGCCTTAAACTTCAACTTTTTCTTCTATCCAAGTAACAGTAAACCTTCTTGAAGTTTTATAATTGAATCTTGGTTTCATTTATTTCTAGAATTTCATAAGAAATTCTATTATAGGTGGAAGGGATTCTAAGAAGTGTAGAGAAGAGAAGCTAAAAGAGGGAGCCAAGCTTTTGGAGTAAAGGTGATATCTCTTATTATTTCCATTTCTTGTATGAGATCCATTGTGTGGTCTGTAGTGCTAATGAGATATATTGCTCATGTTGAGTGGAGGCTGGTAATGGTGAGGAAACAGGGTGGATCAATAGAGACAGGGAAGTTATTGAATAAAT